TCGAGATTAAATGCTCAAAGATTGAAAAAACTATTGTAGATATCATTAGATGTCTGTCCGATAGGGATAGAAAACGCTTTAAATTGTGCTCAACTATTATGACTATATTATGGCTCGTGTTTGTAATGATATCATTAACATCAGTATTTATTTATTTTATTTACTATCGTATTATATCAATTGACTTACTCGATGAATGTATCTGGGCATTTTTATATTACGGTTTTATTATAGCTACAAATCTACTGCTAATACACATCTGTTATGCCATACATCTCACGGAAAAGAGACTATTAATTAGAGACACAAATCATATTAATTATGAAGAATTTAATCAAAGTTTAAATAATATTGTAAAGCATAAGGAGGCTATTACTGAAAGTTTAGGTATTTTCCCATTTCTATGGTTTTGTGAGATTTTTTGCACAACTTGTCTCCGATTAACACATTTTCCTATTAACAAACAAAATACTCAACGGATTTATGCCGGATTATGTTCAGGGCACCAATGTGGCCTACCATCAATCATTGACTGCTGCTGTATTAGTTGAGCTTGGTCATTGGGTCAATTACAGGTAATATATTTATTACCTGATATGATTATTCAGTTAAATGTATTGTGATTGGTATCGCCAATTGAATTTTTATTAAATTTGTACATGATGATAATTTTTCATAAATAGTGTGCACCTGTACGTGTTTAAATGCAATCAGGTTGGTTATCAGGATCAATTAGAATATAATATGGTTATGAATGGACAGTTGTCTTGTCGTAATACACCCGATATTGAGTTCACAAATGAGATTACTCATTTTAGTCAGTATAACTGTTCAACACCAGTATATATGAGCAATTTGTTTAGTATCCTAAGCATTAATTCATACCAACCTTTGCCACCAATTATTAACATCTGGAAGGGTTTGGACACAAATGTCTGGTATTTCATAATCGCATCACTATTTGTGTTCATTATTAGCAACAAATACTGTATCCGTAATATTCATACTAAACACTCAACTCTTGGATTCATTTATATCTATATCAAGCCTTTTATTGGCATATATGACCAAGGCTATAAACACCGTTTATACCTGTTATGGATACTATCACTCATACCATTGGTGGAGATCATGCGAAACACATTGCTAGCAAACCTGGTCACCCGACCCATACAGAACCTGCACACCATTGACGACATATTAAATGCTAATGTCGATATATACGCCACCATAAATACACATATTCAGATAAACTCACCAATATGTATACAATGTAACGATCATTTGTTGTACGGGATGCTATCCGGGACTGTTAGCCCACAGAGTTTAGGCATAAAAAGTGTTGAATTTGTTCATAAATTTGTCAGATTCTTGCGTTTGATATTAAAATTCAAAAATATGGGCAAAAGTTTGGGAATATTCTCGGTTTGTATTTACAGTGCGATTGCTTTTCAACAGAAAGGCATACCTATGATTACATTTGCTATGATAGGAGTTCCGCACGCATTGCTTTGGGGCACTACTGTTCATTATGTACATAATATTATAGTTATGGAGTTTGTCTACTATTATATTATAACTTACTATTTGAAAACTAAGTTAAAATCAATTCATAATAAATTAACTGAAGTTATGGTTAACATAAATTCATATAATAAGTTTGCATTGTATCGATGCATGTTTAGTAATATGAAAAGCTTATATTCAATTTACGATGAGATTAGCAACTACAATAATAAGTATTGGTGTAAATATTTGGCAATTATATGGTTAACACTGAGCTCTATTATATCTATGATTACATTTCTTATATTATTTAGTGAAATAGATTTTGCGACACAAATTTTGTTTGCCATTTTTGACATTACTTATATATTCATCTTGTTATTTATCATATATATTACATCTGGGATTTATGATGAAGCTAAAAAGTCATATAAGATTTTTAATTCTATTTATTGTCCAAATCACATGGATGCACTTTACATTAAATTCAAGGTATAATTTTAGTATGTTTTTAACCAAATTATAAATTAATTAGTCTTTTGTCTATAAGTTATTGAATATAATGGAAAGAATAGCTAAAAAACGAATTGGTTTTTATTGTTGGAAATTATTTATAATTAATAGTTTTAGAGGTCACGAAGTAAGTAAAACTAACTTGCAATAACTCTTATAATTTAATAATTAAATGTACTTAATTAATTTCCAGATAATTTCAATGATCGCAATTGTATTTTTGAAAATTCTCGACATGTCATAACTAGGAATGAAAAAAAAGTGGGCCTATAATGTGTATTTATGTGTATTTATATGTATTTATGGGTACGTACTNTTAACATAAATTCATATAATAAGTTTGCATTGTATCGATGCATGTTTAGTAATATGAAAAGCTTATATTCAATTTACGATGAGATTAGCAACTACAATAATAAGTATTGGTGTAAATATTTGGCAATTATATGGTTAACACTGAGCTCTATTATATCTATGATTACATTTCTTATATTATTTAGTGAAATAGATTTTGCGACACAAATTTTGTTTGCCATTTTTGACATTACTTATATATTCATCTTGTTATTTATCATATATATTACATCTGGGATTTATGATGAAGCTAAAAAGTCATATAAGATTTTTAATTCTATTTATTGTCCAAATCACATGGATGCACTTTACATTAAATTCAAGGTATAATTTTAGTATGTTTTTAACCAAATTATAAATTAATTAGTCTTTTGTCTATAAGTTATTGAATATAATGGAAAGAATAGCTAAAAAACGAATTGGTTTTTATTGTTGGAAATTATTTATAATTAATAGTTTTAGAGGTCACGAAGTAAGTAAAACTAACTTGCAATAACTCTTATAATTTAATAATTAAATGTACTTAATTAGTTTCCAGATAATTTCAATGATCGCAATTGTATTCTTGAAAATTCTTGACATGTCATAACACTTTATAAAGTCATTAAATTATGTGCAAATAACTTGAAAGACATTAATTAACATTGCTACTTACGAATTACTTAAAATGAATTTTCAATATACAGTAATATAATCATTGAGTTATTGACAACTCGTAGACTGTTTGACTGACAAACTACCTAATCGCTGAACTGGCTCAGTTTTGGACTCTAAGTGTGAATATTTTGTAATCATAATTAATATGGAGATGAATGCTATAATAGAAAGCGTAAGCAAAACAAATTCCGTATAAATAAAAATCATTGAATAGTCTTCAATCCAATTGCCGACAATGAATGGCGTTATGAGAGTAAACAGACCCCTAAACAGTAGGAATACGGCATTTATCCTACTCGTCATATCCAGGTACTGCTCGGTGAACGTGTATATACCGGCATACATGGCTGAAAAGCCCATACACATCGTGATACTGGCCACCCATAGCATGGTAATGGACGTGCGCGCCGGTATCAGTAGTATTGTGCCGATTATGATAACCACGTAATGAAAAGCGATTATTGTTTTGAATTGAAGTCTAGAAAAATGTATAACAATTTGAATGAGTGTCCAACTTTATAAGTTACCAATTTTGTACAGTACTTGTAGGGGTAGAGTATATTTAAGGCCAGTCCCACCGTATTAACGGTGAGCGACACGGATATGATCTCCGTGGCCGACTCAGCCGACAGTCTGAGCGGTGAGTACTGGAAGTACGTCTGCGAGAACTTCATGAATACCGTCTCAAAGATGATGTACAGCGAGAAAAACAGTGCAAACAATAGGCGTATAGTCTTTCGCGGGGTTTCCTTCCTATCAAACAGTTTCGTAGGGATGGCGTTGTCTTCGTGTGAGGACTGACTACTGTCTTCATGGCTGTCCTCAGACTTCATTTTTGGCTCTTTGTATGGTTTTATGAAATGCATGCCAATCAACGCCATTGGGACTGAAAAACAAATGTTTATAAAAATATACAGTAATTACTAATAGTAATTAATTCAAATTGGTAATATGCTGAATAATTAAATACCTGTATAAAATATAAATATTAATTTATTATAAATTCTAAGTTGTGCTAGTACTCTATTTCATACATAATTCATAAAATGCTTACTTGAAATGATGCTTGCTCCAATTAACAAAGTGGGAAACATGAGTCGAGACCTCCTATCGACCACATCGTTAATATAAATCTCTAACCCATTATTATAACTCATGGTCTGATTGTTTGCGTGATTGGGTTCACCGACGAGGTATGGTTTGAGTGCTACGGTGGCCAGGATTGAACCGACACCATAGCAAACCTCATACATCTGTATGACGGGTACACGACTGCCCCGCCATAGCTCTATCATCCAGACCGTCGAGAAACCGCCGTAAATACTGGAGCCCATGCCTATGACAAAGGCACAGATATATAGCACCCATAGGTATGGTGATAGGGGTANAGCAATTATCTTACAGATATATTGTCATTTTATTTATAATAATTAAGTTCTGAATATTCTACTATAAAAGCAAATACTATTTTATAATTTTCTAATTAATTAATCATGGGATTCCTAAACATAAAAAATTGTACCGGTTATGACAGATATATTTATACTGCCATCCTGTTTGGTAGTGGTATCTCATATGTATGTATAATATCAATATTGAAGTAATACAAAATATTGAAGTAATTAATATAAAATAAAATAACCCAGGGTATGGTTTACTCGGTGTACGCACCCATAATGGTGGACATGAAGTATATCCTGAACACGTCCATGAAATGGATCTCACTTTTTGGTACCTTTGAGACCACGGGATTTATACTGGGAACTTTCAGTAATTGATTAATTAATCTATAATAAAACATATTACATTTAATTAATATATTTTATAAATTTGCTCACATTTATGAACAGTCGCCCTATTATTCAAATACCTGAACAGACAGATAACGTTTGCCATATTTTTTACATTCCTCACCATCGCATCGGCTGTCATACCCCTATCCCCATACATATGGGTGCTATACTTATGCGCGTTTACCATCGGCCTGGGAGCTGCTGTTTACGGTAGTGCCACCACAGTGTGGACAGTGGAGTTGGGAAGGGGTAGTAAGGTTCCCATAGTGCAGGTGTTTGAGTTATCCTTTGGCATCGGCGCTGTTCTGTCGACAATGGCTTTAAAGCCATACCTAATCGGCGAACCCTCGCAGACAAAGGGTCTGAAAGTATATTCAGACAATGAGTTAGTGATTGATGTGAACGATGTAACCGAAAGAAGGTCCCGGCTTATGTACCCCACTATGCTTATTGGAGCATGCATCATTACTAGTAAGTTGTTATTATAATTGTTAATTCGAGATTCTAATTAACTTGTAATATAAATTGATAATTATAGTCAAATAATGTATAATTTGATTGCAGTTCCGATCGCATTGTTTATCATGTATTTCCTTAAGCCATACAAAGAGCCTAAAGTTAAAGGGGAGGACAACACAGATACTGAAGTTGAGACACAAGACACTCATTACAACAACAATAATAATAATAATTATGACGTGATTTCAAAGAAGTTGTTTAACAGGAAAGAGACTCCGAGAAAGACAATGAGATTACTATTTGCCTTAGAGTTTGCATTTTATTTAGTGTTTGAGACGACTTTCAATAAGTTTTCGGTCACTTATTTCCAGTACTCACCGCTCAAACTGACCGCTGAAAAGGCCACTGAGCTATACACCGTAGCCATGAGTGTCTATACTGCGGGACTGGTACTTAACATATTATATCCGTACAGGTATGCAATAATTTATATATATACTTATATTATATAAGTTATATATATATAGGTTATTACCGATTTTTATTATAACTCTTATCACATTTAGATTTCAGATAAAAAATATCATTTCATTTCATTACGTAATGGTTATTATCGGAGCTATACTACTGATACCGGGCCGCACATCACTACCTATGCTGTGGGCAGCTATGATAGTCATGTATATGGGGTTTTCAGCCATGTACTCCGGTATTATAGCCATAACCGAGCAGCACCTGGACATGACTAACCAATTGAGTACAGTGTTCCTGTTATTTCGTGGTATTATGACACTTATCACACCATTCCTTGTGGGCGACTATATCGAGAACTATTCAATCATATTCTTATACATAGAGTACATCTATTTATTAATATCACTTATTATATTTGCTTGTATCATTTTTATGATCAGAAAGTATTCACATTTAAATAATAATACTACAAATGATAGCTCTGTAGCTGAAGTAAAATAATAATAGCCTTAATGATGTATATTATTTGTTTAAAAAATAAATTTATAATAAAATTTTAAGTAAAACAATAATTTATAATTATTTATATTATGCTTTAAATGTAGTACATTTTGTAACAAACTATTATAATAAAAATTAAATTTATAATTTAGCCTATAATAGCAATTGCCTACAATATAATGTGTATAATAAAGTATGTAAGATATAATTTATTAGACCTTTAAGATTTCCAATAAAACTTACTTTTACATAATACAATATTATTATCAAGTAATAAATAATTATGACCAATGTTAATTATAATAATTTATATGGCAAGTGTATGTTTAGTACTGTACTGTTTATGTTAGTATAAGACTTATCTAAGAATAAAGTGGTATTTAAAAGAATTATATTTATAACTTAAAACTTTATTTACCTAAACTAGTAACAAGTATAGTTATATAAATTACACTAATTTCGATGCAATAATTTTGAAACAATGGGAAAACTAAGTATTAGAAATGTGCTTGATTATGATAAATATGTGTACACGGTCCTTCTATTTGTCAGTGACATAGCATTTGTAAATATAAATCATTTATATATATTATACTAACAAACATTTACTAAAATTACTTATCATTATTAAGGGAATGGTATGTTCGGTATACGCGCCCATTATGGTGGACATGAAGTACATTCTTCGCACAACTATGGCATGGATCTCATTATTCGCTACTTTTGAAACGAGTGGCTTTATCCTGGGAACTTTTAGTTAGCTGGAAACTTTTGCTACTAATTATATTTACCAGTTTGACTAAAGTATTTTATTTTAAATAATAGTTATCCTGTACAAATTCAAATGCCTAAGTCGACAGCTACTGTTAGCCATATTTTTTGCATTTATGACAATAGCGGCGGCGGTCATACCCCTATCACCATACCTATGGGTGCTATATATCTGTGCCTTTGTCATAGGCATGGGCTCCAGTATTTACGGCGGTTTCTCGACGGTCTGGATGATAGAGCTATGGCGGGGCAGTCGTGTACCCGTTATACAGATGTATGAGGTTTGCTATGGTGTCGGTTCAATCCTGGCCACAGTAGCACTCAAACCATACCTCGTCGGTGAACCCAATCACGCAAACAATCAGACCATGAGTTATAACAACGAGTTAGAGATTTATATTAACGATGTGGTCGATAGGAGGTCTCGACTCATGTTTCCCACTTTGTTAATTGGAGCAAGCATCATTTCAAGTAAGCATTTTATCAATTACGTATGAAATAGAGTACTAGCACAACTTACAATTTATAATAAATTACAGAAAAGTTATTAAATAGTAATTTTATTGCATATAAAATTGTGTTTATTGTCATGTTTTTATAAATGCTTAAAATAAATATTCAACATTTAGAGTTTAAGTTTTCAATATTTATTCGTAGTATCAGTGAAAATGACTTTAAAAATAAAATTAAGATATTTGCCGAACGGTTTTGGTCTACACTGTGACCATCATCAGGGCTTAAGATGTTATTAGATATGAGGATAAGTCTCACTAATTAACTATATTTTATTATTTATATTTTATACAGGTATTTAATTATTCAACATATTACCATTTTGAATTAACTACTATTAGTAATTACTGTATATTTTTATAAACATTTGTTTTTCAGTCCCAATGGCGTTGATTGGCATGCATTTCATAAAACCATACAAAGAGCCAAAATTAAAGTCTGAGGACAGCCATGAAGACAGTAGTCAGTCCTCACACGAAGACAATGCCATCCCTACGAAACTGTTTGACAGGAAGGAAACCCCGCGAAAGACTATACGCCTATTGTTTGCACTGTTTTTCTCGCTGTACATCATCTTTGAGACGGTATTCATGAAGTTCTCGCAGACATACTTCCAGTACTCACCGCTCAGACTGTCGGCCGAGTCGGCCACGGAGATCATATCCGTGTCGCTCACCGTTAATACGGTGGGACTGGCCTTAAATATACTGTACCCCTACAAGTACTGTACAAAATTGGCATCTTATAAAGTTGGACACTCATTCAAATTGTTATACATTTTTCTAGACTTCAATACAAAACAATAATCGCTTTTCATTACGTGGTTATCATAATCGGCACAATACTACTGATACCGGCGCGTACGTCCATTACCATGCTATGGGTGGCCAGTATCACGATGTGTATGGGCTTTTCGGCCATGTATGCCGGTATATACACGTTCACCGAGCAGTACCTGGATATGACGAGTAGGATAAATGCCGTATTCCTACTGTTTAGGGGTCTGTTTACTCTCATAACGCCATTCATTGTCGGCAATTGGA